CGGCCCGTTCCGGGGAACCAGAACGGCCCGTTCTGATTTCAGAACGGTCCGTTCTGAATTGGGAACGGCCCGTTCCGGACTTGGGAACGGCCCGTTCCGATTTTGGAACGGCCCGTTCCGGGCCACTAAAAAAATTTGATTTGGGCCCCCCTCATGTCCTATCTTGTTGTTTGTTTGCCCCCCGGACGAAATTGGGTGTTTACAAACATACAACACAATCACAATTTAATAGCATAACAACAAATATACAACTCATATCAACAATAAATCAACTCATCAACAACTTATGCGTCGTCACGCATTTCAACTCGGAGATCCCCAACAACTGAGGTTGAGCAGTCTAGGTGGCATAAACCCTACCAAATGCAATGTTTGACCTATCTCAACCAGGTCAGGTATAGAACAACATTAGGAACTCCTACCATGGCCTTGGCTAGCATCACCAATCCACATATGGAGTTAGCCCACCCACTGTCCTCCAAGTACCACGCACCCTCCAGTACCTAGTGAAACACTATAGCTCTAACAAGATACCTTACTCAAATTGGTCATTCAACCATGACATGGATTGACTACTTCCATGTCGCTCACACAGTACTAAGGGATTCAACTTTAAAATATCTTTCAACTTATCTCCTTAGTACTATGTATCTCAACATAGGACATATATCTTCACCATATGTCCCTAACTTTTCAACTTTACAACAATAGACACCATAACAACTTTACAACGATAAACATCTGGCCACTTTTAATCGGTATAGCTCGGCCTGACCCCTATACCGTGGTTGCTTTGTACACGTGTGCCTCGACCTTGCCCACACACGGGATCAACTAAGTCCTAGAAGAGAACAACACAACGTCCACTCCTAGGGACAACTTTCCAATGAGGGTTTTTCAATAAATTGGGCTCTCAGAGTACCACAACTATCTCAATCCACACAATAGGATGAGCAACTTCAAAAACATCTCCCCTAGTCCTAGTGATCAACAACTCATCGTCACAACTTAATCAGCTTAACAACTTAAACAACATGCAAATTTTCAACTCATCATCTCAATCAACATTCAACTTGAACAACATAATTTATCAGCACAACAACTCCTCAACATTATTTAACAACACATCTAAACAACTCAACAACTCATTTCAACTCATAATTTACAACTCAATCATCATAAGGTAATCTCTTTTCAACCCAAGGCACAACATACAACTTTATAGCAACATACAACTCTATACTCAACATGCATCTATTCATTTCACTTTCTACTCATCATACATCTCAATGTAATTACACAACTTCTTATTCAATTATTAATTAAACAACTATAGTCATTACAATATCAACTTAATGCAACTTAACAACTTTATAAACAACTTTAGCAATATACAGCATATTTAAAATTTATCTATCATGTCAACTTACACAATATAAACAGCATAAAATCAACTTAAGCACCCAATAACTCAACTATTTCAACAAAAGAACACCATGCATAAAGCTTTCCTAACTCTCCTAAAATTAAACAACCTACATTCTAGCTTCCATCACCTGAAGATTGGCTCAGAATAGCCAAGAAGCGAAATTCTCTTTCCGAAGCTCAACCCGAACTTCAATCCACCCAAAGCAAGCTTCCTAGTCCAGAGTCCTTCTCTCTAAAACTTCTCTCTAAAAATCTCAATTTTCCTCAACTGCCCACAACCTCTATATTTATGGAAATCTAAAACGGCCAGAACGGCCCGTTTCGAATCTGGAACGACCCGTTCTGAGTTCCTTCATCATGTGTAAAATTCACATGCAGAACGACCCGTTCTGGCACGTCTAGAACGACCCATTCTAAAACCGGAACGACCCGTTCTGGAGTTGAATTTAACTCACAATTAAATCACCCTTGTTTTAGTAGTTTGGAACGGCCCGTTTCAATCTGAAAACGTCCCGCTCCAGTCTACTAACTACGTTACAGAATAAGTAGCATAAAATGTAAAGAGATGAAAAAGATTAGATGTTTTTTTTATTAATATTGAGTTTTCTCATTCGTGTATTCAATTACATGCAGAAGGAGTAGTGAAACATAAAATGTCTCGAGTGGGGAGCAATTTCTATTTTGTGCAAGAGACAACAGAAGACGCCCAGGACGAGAGGCATTTTTTATTCCATGATGATGAATGTAAGAAAACGAATGTGTGTCTGGTATGATGTACTACCATTTGCTTTTATCATTTGATTTATATGGCTATAAGAGCACCTCTAGCGGAGGGTGCTTATCCGGTTTCTTATTTATAAGCACCATTTCTAATAAGGAATTCCCATTGGAGTAGCTTACGTGGCAGAGGGAGGAAATTTTTTTTTTAGCTCCGTGTCTTGCAGAAGCAACGATGCTTGCCTGCTTCATATGTACTTTCTGTTTTCTTTTTCTTTACTTTTCTCTGTACATAAATTATTATAATAATGTGAGGTGTTAAAAAGTGTAGTATAAGTTGTAGAAAAGTTGGGGTGCTTATAAGCAATTCTCATTGAAGCAAAAATTGTAAAAATATAGTATGAGTTGCTTATAAATGACGTGGCACAGTAAGACCCATTTAAAGTGGTTGGGAGTTGCTTATAAGCAACTCTCATTGTAAATGCTCTAACTAGTTTACAATTTGAATAAAAAAATATTATAGTTTGTTAATTATTGGCTAAAAATCTAATTTGGTCCCTTATAATGTTTTTTTGTTTCAATTTAGTCC